AACCTGGTAAGCCCGAAGCCTACACCCTAAACCCTAAACCCTAAACCCTACACCCTAAACCCTAAACCCTAAACCCTAAACCCTAAACCCTACACCCAAACCCCTAAACCCCTAAACCCCTAAACCCGAAGCCTTGAATCCCCAGCCCTCAGGGCCCCTGAATCCTCAGCCCCGAATCCTCGAGGCTGGGCCTGAACCAACAGTGCTAACTCCCCAAGCCCTGGTTTAAGGGTTTAGGGTTTAGGGTTTAGGGTTTAGGGTTTAGGGTTTAGGGTTCAAGCCCTGAATCCTAAGTCCTAAAACCCTAAGTCCTGGCTTTGTGAGCCTTTCGGGACCTTCGGGCTTCGGAAAAAGGAGTTCAAAAAAAAAAACCCTAAGCCCTAAACCCCTAAACCCTAAACCCTTAATCCTAAAACCCTACGCCCGAAACCCGAAATCCTAAACCCGAAATCCTAAACCCTGACACCCCTAAATTCTAAATCCCAAAGCCTACACCGAATTCAAAAAAGACTTTTAGGCAGTCGGAGAATTCTAAACCCTAAACCCTAAACCCTAAACCCTAAACCCTAAACCCTAAACCCTAAACCCCAGGAGCCGGGTGGCCCCGCTGATCAACTCCTGGACCTTCCAGGCTACTCGAGAAGTCTTGGGGTTTGGAAAGGGTTCTTAGGGTTTAGGGTTTAGGGGTTTAGGGTTTAGGGGTTTAGAGGTTTAGGGGTTTAGGGGTGTAGGGGTTTATTGTTTAGGGTTTCAGGGTTCTGTTTAGGGTTCCTGTTTAGGGGTTCCTGAAGTTTCCTTGCAGAATTCGTTTGATGGGTTCCTGTCGGGCTTAGGGTAGCAGGGTTTGGGGTTCAGGGTTTAAGGTCTAGGGTAGCAGGCTTTCGAGTTTAGGGTTGCAGGGTTTATTTAGGCTTCAGGGTTGTAGGGTTCAGAGTATCTTAAACCCATCTCAACCCTAAATGCGAAACCCTTCAAAGAAAAATCCTAAACCCGAAGCCCTAAACCCTTCAAAGAAAAATCCCTAAACCCTAAACCCTTCCAAGAACAAATCCTGAGCCCTAAGAGCTCGAAGCCGAGGTTCATGGGGAGGATGGGGGCGATCCGGAGCCTTGCTGGGTGGACCACGAGAGGCAGTACATCGTGCAGTACATCAACCAGCTCCTCAGCTATTCTGGGGTTGAGGGTTTCGGGCTTAGGGTTTGGGGTTTAGAGTTTATCTATGGGTTTGGGTTTAGTTTTAGAGTTTTGGGGCTTAGGGTTCAGTGTGCAGGGCTTAGGGGGTAACTACAGGGACAGCTCTTGCCAGAAGGGTTGCTGTGAGGGTTGCACTGAGGGTTGCTTTTCGGGTGCCTGTTGCTTTTGAGGGTTACTGTTGGGATTGGGGTGGGTACAACGGTTACAGTAGGTGCTACTGTCGGGATGAGGTTTCTTTTCAGGCGACTCTAAGGGTTACGCCAGTATCGTAAAGTTTAGGGCTTAGGGTGTAGGGCGCCACCCGGAAACTCCTACAGCCGTAAAGCTAGTTGCCTTGCAGCTTCTTTTGCAAGTGCCACCTGGGTCACGGCATCAGCAAATACCTGGACGGGGATGACTTTAGTGCCGCCCCGATGCTGCTGGAGGCTCTGGAGGTTGTAAAGCAGTCCGAGTACCGCTTCGGTACCTCTCGTATTGCCACGTTTGACAGCGGGTCTGACGGTGCTGGCCCGGTGCTGGCTGCTGGATCCTGTAGCCGCCACGGCTACAGGACCTGGGCAAGCTGGGGGCAGAGGGCAAGAAACCGACCCACAGGACAGCAGAACCCGAGCGTGCGTCATCGAGTGTAGGAAGGACAAATTACTTTGTGCGGGAAGTTCTGCTGGCATACGGCTTGCGCATGCTCGTCCCAGCCTCATGCTTGCTTGCCGTCCGCCTCGAAATGAGGGAAGCAAAACGCGACTAACTGCAAACGTGGCAGGACATCTGGGAAATCCCAGCGTGGTTTAGGATCTCAGGCTTAAGGACTTAAGGGTCAATGTTGAGTTCAGGATTCTTGAAATCGGGGTTGGGGTCACTATGACCACAAAACCAAAGCCCGTAAGCCGAGCCGTGCATGCCGCAATTCGTGCAGATACAAACCGAAAGCACGCACACAAACAGTCTAGAAGCTCCACCGCAGGTTTTTGCAGAGTTCAGGGTTTCGGGTGTGCATGGTCTAGAGTATATTCTCTGGGATGAGTTGATGAGTTTAGGGATGTTGGGGGTGTGCAGGGTGTGGATTCCGCAAGCTCGGCCTCAGGAGTGAGGCGGGCTTCTACATCAGAGGTGCGAAGCTGTCGACCTTCAATGTGCCACTGGGTGAGAAATGGATGCTTCCATGGTCCAAGCTCCACCAACACCTTCAGCATCCCCGAAGATAACGGAGTATGCCTGATGTTCGAATCAATATTTACGGTTGAAGGAGTATTCCGAATTCGAGGGTGTGGGCCTTTGCCGCCAGAGTTTTGAGGGCCTCAACCCATGAGACCACGTCAGAGGGAATTTTTTGTGTCGACGCCCTAAACCCCACACCGAAGCCCTAAAGCCCAAACCCGCAAGCTTTGGCGCTAAAGTCTAAAGCTTAAGGCCAAGGCTTAATAAACCCAAACGAGCCCTACAGCTTAAGCCCAATCCTCGCAATCTAAACCCAAAGCACCCTGCTCGCTATGAGCTCTACCCCGCAACCTAAACCTTGAACCCTAAAGCCTAAGCTTAAGACCCGGTGTCTTTAAACGGAAACTCTTCCAGGAACCTCACAGCCTTACACGAGCAGGCAATGAGACCCCGCACTAGCCTTCCCCTCTGTTCTTCAGCCCGGTAGGACTAACTGGCCTTCCCCTTTGCTCCATAAAGGGTTCAGGGCCCCTAAACCCTAAACCCTAAACCCTAAACCCTAAACCCTAAACCCCTAAACCCTAAACCCTAAACCCTAAACCAGGGTTGGTGTTTAGCATTTGGGACTTTATCCGGCTTTAGGTGTTTCTTGGGGTTCTTGGCGCAGGGTTCAAAGGCTTTAGTCTATCGGGTGTCGGGTTTCAGGGGGTGTTGATGGTTTCGGATTCGGGTTTATGGGATTTGGTGCAGAGGTTTTACGTGGCTTAGGGCTTCGACCCAAAACCCTAAATCCCTAAACCCGTAAACCCCTAAATGAGCCCTGAAGCCCTAAACTGGGCTTGTATGATGTATTGTGTAGGGCTCAAAGGAAGGAGGTCTTCCAGGGTTTCTTTGGCAGAGGGCGAAGGTCTCGCGTTCCAAGGATTCAGGGTGTACATGGTTTATGTGGCTTTAGGTTCAGGTCTTCAGGGTTTTAGTAGTATCTGGATATGTCGGGTTTCGGGTTCCAAAGATTTAGGTTTTGTAGGGTTTATGGGATTTCGGGTTCTGGCGTCGACTGGTTTAGGGTTTGTGGGGCCTGTAGCAAGTAGGCGGGGTTCAGCGTTCAATGGATTCAGGGTGCATAAAATCTTATAGAGTTTAGGCGGATTGAGCCTTCGGCTTGGGTCACTGGGGGTCCTCAAACCCGAACCACTTCGGTTTAGAATTTGCGGTCTGGATAAAGTGTTTGGTGTGTCAGGAAGTGGGGCTTACTTGCGTGCTCGTCCTTTTTCGCAGGTATGGTTGGCTTCTCTGTGCACAGGGGACACTATCAAATCCTACCGGGACCTTGCAGCCCTAAGCCTTAACCCGAAATCCCCCAAGGCAAAAGATGACCTACTACTTCGTGGCTTTGTCTTTCGCACTCTTTTCGGGCCTCTCTTCACGCTGAGCCGTCGGACAGGGTGGAGGGCGGAGCCCCAGCGTATAACGGCCGTGTCTCAAAACGGGGGCCCGTTGAAGTGGAAGAGGCTTAGGGTTTTCTGTTTAGGGTCTAGGGTTTGTGATTTCGGGTCTGGGGTCAGCGCAAGCGTCCTGCTGTTTTGAGACACTTCCGAATGAAACAGGGCGGAGCCATCAAGGATTCAGGGTGGTTTCTTTGA